AATCCCCGATGCTTAGTATACACGTTGGCTTGCGTACCACGTTGGCCGCCATAGATCGCGGGTACCTAGCGTACTCGCAGAACTCGCGTAGACGCGTCGTTACCCCTCCCGAACGGGTAGTCCGCAGCCACCGAGTGTAGGGAACCGAGTCCGCAGGGTGCCATAAGTGTTACACGCGGGAGCTAGATTTCCAGTCGCACCGTTGCCCCCGCTCGTTTATCCGAGATGTAGAGAGCCAAGTACGGACAAACGTAGGCATACAAGTGTTTCGACGGAGGACGAAATTTTCGAGTAAAAAGACAGCGACCTTGCCTCCGGGGAGGGCTGTGAAAGGTGGCTCCTGGTCGAAGATGTGGCGGACGAACGACGTCGTTCGTTAACTTCCATCGTGGATCGAATTTGTATTTGCTTCCTTGCTTTTCAATCAAATTATACTTTATAACTCGATCGAATTATATTGTATTTTATTTCAGGCTCATTAGTTTGGTCTTCGATCGTAAATCCCAGAAATCGAAGTGTTTTGTAATGTTTTGTGTATTATCGCTTGGCTCCTTAAGGGGGTTAGTGGTTTACGTCAAATCAAATTCTTAATATTTCAGTTCGTTGTTTAAAATGTGTCTGTTGGAAGTTGCTCGGAAGATATAGAACAGTGTTCAAATATTTCGACAGAATAAAAAGATTTCTGAACGAAATTCTATTAAACTTAAATATCTCTCTACAACTAGTTACTAATTAAGAATAAAGAAAGAATAAAAAGAATTTTCATCGCGAATGTGTATACTTATAACAAAGAATATTTATATTAAATAATTATACAGTGATTTATTAATTTTAATTTTGTAATACTTTATAAACTTTACTAACTTCAGAATGATTTATATAATTTACAACAAGTTAACAAGTAGTACTTTACAATTTCTATAATTTAATCTTTACACCTTTGCACTTTCGTCGTTTTAATGAAGTTAAAATTACAATACCGTCTTTGAACAGTCAGGTCATTTTTAACGTAAATCGTGATCGTTTCACATCTTGACCCATCGCGATTTTCTAGTCTTCGCGACTAGACTACTAATTTCATTCGTACGTCGGATGATCCAATGTCCAATCACGCGACAATGATTTTATCCCAGCTGGCTCATTACGAAAATAAATACGTATATCCACCGATATAACAGTTCGAAAATAATTACGGATCGTGTACGTCCACCCACGAGACCGGGTGATTTCTCTCTCTCTCTCTCTCTCTCTTTTTCTCGGATGTTTCACGTTTCCCGTGAGATCCTCGGTTAAGTATCACGACGAGTCGTCGATTACGCCGGGCGACTCAACTTTTGCAAAAAGCCGGCGAACGAAGAGAGAAGAAGAAAAAGGGTGGCGGGTTTGTCGCGAAAGCGAACGTCGGCTAGTTTTTTCCTTTCCCGTCGTGTTGCAAAATAGTTTACGCGCCAGCCGTCGAGCAGAAAGACTAAACAGGTTTTCGAGGACGCCGGTAGCAATAAAGACCGATACCAAAGTAGCGTCTAACTCTGTCGAGATATATCCGAGGCGGACGCGGGTTATCTGGCCGCGATGGGCGAATCTCGTATCTAAACGGCGCGCAAACATCCCTCGACTTTAAAATATGAAGTGTCCTCGCGATCTTTAGCTCCGCGATCAAGGACGTCCCTCGTGTGTCTCCTCGCGGTTCATCGTACGCCGCCTCGAAACAACCCGATCGTCCCCCGCTTATTGAATTCGACTCCTCCGCTCGACTATTGCCGATATTGCCATTTTGCGTGGATTCGTTCTTTGTCAGCGACTTATTAAGTTGCCGGTTATCGTTCGAATTCTGACGTTCCGACGAATTTCTTTCCCTCCTTTCGTTCGAGATTCGAGTTTGATTATTCTTCACGACAAGTTAGTAAATCGATAATGAACGCCTTAAACGCCTGATGTCGATGATTTAAATCGCAAAGTTAATTCCAAAGTAGATTTAAATTAGATTAATGATAAGTAATTGGACGGGTTTAATGATAATTATTATAGCTTTAAATACCCAGCTGTTGATGTTGACTTCTAATAAAGATCGCGCAGGGATCATTAGTGCACAGACACCGTCCTTGAGTGGTTAATAGTAGTACAAAGTAATTAACTCCAAACCGAATTTCACTTCGTTAAGTCTCTCTTATTGAAAAAGTCAATAGAACGGAACTTGAATTTCTGAGTAAACGAGAATTTCATTCCGTAGAGATTTTATTAGTTCTTCGATCAGCGACACGAAATGACGATTCGAGTCTTCGACTTATGCGAGTCTTATCGAATGAGACGTAAGTTCGACTTGTGAGTAGAGGTTTTGTACGTATATGGGAATTTTGTTCAGAATCGACAGGCATCAAGTTGCATACACACGTGTTTCTATTAGGACAGAATTGGACTACGCATACTTCAGTCAGCATTTTAAATACAACTTTCAAAAATAGAATCAGGTAGTCAAATCTAAACCCCCTGTGGGCTCGGGGTTAGAATAGACCCAACGTAATCCCTGCGTGTCGTAAAAGGCGACTAAAAGGGAAATTCTTCGTGTACGCACTCTATTACTTATTCAGTATCAATTTCATTCCTTGTTTCAAGCGTGGCAAATTTTTGGAAAATTTTCCTCTCTCACTTCATCATAGGATTTTTCCACTAAAACAGTTATTTAATTTTTTTTTGTTAATAAGTAAAAATAGTCGAATGGAACAATCAAGCTCAAATTTAACCCCTCGAGTTACAAATGATCGTACTAATTTACAATAGTTAGATTACTAAAATTCAGAGTATTCAATTTTAGATTATACGTGACGTTCTTTGCGACAAAAGTGGAAAAGGCAGCAGAAATTTAATTAATTTCGATGAAATATTCCAAAGTTAAGTAATTCAATTCTAAATGAACACCAATTGAGAGTTAAATCTTAAGCTGTCCGCAAATATTGTCCATTCCAATGCGAAACGAAATGCGAACCAGTGATCACTGGATTGGTACTTTTATATTTCTGTCTTTGCTTGTAACTTATAAATTGTCCAAGGACAACTTATATACCGGCTGTCACACGCGTAATATGTATCTGGCGAGCAGTCTGTATTAAACTTTAAAGTCAAGAGTATAGTCGTAGTACGTATATAATAAAGTACAGATATATTACAATATATCGTGATCTTTACTCGCGCGTTAACAACGAGAGATCGAAGATCACGAGTCGCTCGACGGACGTAGAAATCGCGTCGCTTTGCGCCACGGAAGAGTACAGGCGAGGAAAGATGCTGCACGGTAATTAATGGTGGAGCAAGTCCGTCGCAAATCATGTGGCCCGTCCTATAACTCACGGAGCTGACGCACGTTTAAATAGAGCCAGATAGAAAAGCCAGAGAGACTGTTCGTTTTCGTCTGGCTTCAGCCTTCCTTCCTTTCTCTCTCTCTTTCTTTCTCTCTGTCTTTCTTTCTCTCTGTCTTTCACATTCGTTCAAATCAACGGTCACTTTAGCAAAC